CGGCGACGCCCTACGGAAACGCGCTGACCAGGGTGCAAAGCTGGCAGATCTGCCGGCGCCGGACGTAATGGCTGGCCTCACGCTTCCTCTGCTGCTCTGTCAGCGTGGCTAAGAACAGGACGCTGGCTGCAAAGAGGCGTGAGTGCGTGACGTACTGTTTATCGATCGCTTTAAGACCGGTGTTAATCAATGTGCGGAGATTAATCTGGTTGGATAATGGCCTGTTATACTGGTAAAGGTGCCTGCCCGATCGGAGAATTGTCCATAAACATCTGGTGAGAGGCTTTTTGATCGGAAAGACATTCTTAGCACTCACACGCTGAACTAGGGTCACCCATAACGCAGGCGGTCAGCCCTTTATCACAAGGCTGTAATCCGATGCGCTGAGAGCCACGCCCACGAAATTTTGAAGCGTTTGTAAAAACGAACGGGATCGTTTAACTCTGAGCACAATGTGAATGCCCACGAGCTGTGCCCATAGCCAAATGAGCGAAACATTCTTGCCGGTTACCACTCACGGAGCTGTGGGTGGTGCATGGCTTAACGCACGTTGTTAATGTGTGCAGCTCTGAATGCGTGCAGTGACTTAAATTCAAAGTGGCGTTGTTCAGTGTTTTCGATTCGCAGCATTTTTCGAGATGGTTCTGCAGCGCCGGTGACCATCATGGGAACCTGAGAACATTGCTCTCATCGAACCAGACTCTAAGCTTTCGTAGTCGCTAGATTGAGGAATATCTTATGTTTGCTCCAATGAAATATGCATACTGTGAGAACTGAAGTGCAATGAAATGTCTTTCAATCCAAATCATAATAAGATTTCCATGGTCTGCTACGACCCACTGCAGGCTTGTATATTTATCCTCGGGGGCTGGAGCACCCTTTCAATCTGGCTTTTACTTGATTCCTACAACATCGAGCTGTGGTTATGGGGAAAGTTTGCTTCGCCATTGTAACTAGTTTGAGTTATTGTGCACTTATTTCCTGATCAACCTTCTATGAGCCAATAATCAATTGCGATACGATCATAACGAAATGTAGGTCAATGATAGCACAAATCCGAATTACTTTTCTTAAAAGTGTATGTATCAAATGTTATTTGTTGCTGATCTGTATAGCTTAAATGCAGAGAACTTTGTATAAAACAAAGCCATCGTTAATTATACATTCTCTGCAGGGCAGGTGGCGCATTGTCTAGGCCTGTGTTTACCGAGCGTAAATGCGAATAATAAACATGAGTGTCCCTATCTGCATAAGATATGTGCCACGCCGTCCACAAGACGCGGATGAAAGCAAATGGCAAACAAGCCACAGCCTGCATTTAGGATGATTTTTAAACGCTTTATTTTTGACAGTGCAGCGTTAGTGCCGGCATATTGCTCGGTTGATCTTGGCTTTTTTGCGTTTTGACACATCGCCTGTGGTGTAATCTTTATGAGTCTACAATATTGGATATTAAGTACATCGGAGCAGTGAAGAAGCATTCAAAAGAACGCTTGCCCATCGAATATATTTTGTTCCGAATGATGCAGATTTCCTTTCAAGGAAGCACTGTAGGCCTTCATCCTAGCTGAACAATGGACAGGGGGAAAAATACAGATATATTAACTGATATGGTGTTTCGGCTAGGAACTTTTGTAAGTCTTTGACACGCATATCAAAGGCTTCGGCGCAGGAAGGCGTCAGCAGTTTGTCGAGCGCACGTGGGCGTCAGCAGTTTATCCCCGCAATTCGCATTAAACTTTAATGTGCCACCGTAAAGCGACGCCAGACGGGAGCCGAGAGCCCGACGTTAAAGGACAAGTGAGCTCGTTAGGTTGACTCCAGCTGTACGATCAGTTCGATCGTTATTAGTCCAACGACGCGCTGGCATTACGAATGGCTTTGAATGATAAACCTGTCGCTGACGCTGCATCGGTGTCGCACGGTGGAAATCGCTCAAGTTATTGCTATTATTTCAAAGAATGGGCCCACGAGTTAGCCTTTGCTTTGAAAAGCAAATATTAAACTGTAGCAATATGGAGTGTGACAAAAAAGAAGAAGCCTTACCAGAGTTCATGGAACTTCAGACCACTTCAAGTCCAGATCAGAATGTGCTATTTTTTATCGGGCCTGTTCCTGCACTGTGACGAGTCGGTATCATCGATTTTAACTGTATTGGGCACTCGGTGAGTTAGCGCGTTCGTTTTCAAAGCAGCTCGACGGGGATTGGGTGCGATCAATTCGTGTAAGAATGGGTAAAGCCTTAAAAATTTGTGCGATACCGTGCATACTGGTCCGTAAGCAATGCGAACAATGAACTCCATAGAGCGAGTTTTAGTCTGATTGCTGCGAGCCCATTGCCTGCCAGTAGAAGATGGAAAATCCAGATGTACATTGCAAAGAGATGTAAACTCGCGATAAGGTTATCGTATATTGAACTGCTTTACATTTTGTCGTGTTGATACAATAGGTCATATATGCACTCATTTCGAAGTCCCATGTATTGCAAACGTGCATCCAGAAATCCACGGCAGTCGATCTAAGAATGGTGGAATGTGCGAACTATAAAGGAGCATATGCAATGCAAAACCCATCAACATCATACATCGCTCAAATTAAGACATTGCCTAACACCGTTTTTGTTTACGCGCTAGACATTTTTGAAAAGTTTGGTGTGTGATATAGCAGCCGTGCCAACGCTTTCTTTCTACAAGCTTTGTGTACGAGAATGACGGTAATTTTACTTCGCTCTGTCTGTTTATTCGGCCAAACGTCACTTCAAACAAACGATGTTTTGCAAAACGCGTGGCTGCGTGGGCAACTCGGCTGACATCACATTCTGACGATTTATCGCCGATATTCATCATCTGTCGCGAACGCATGCGCTCCAATGCTATGGAAAGGGATCAACGTGTTCCGAGAATGTGCGATGACGTTATCCCGGCTTTGCCTGTGATAATATATTGCTCGTGGATGACTGCGGTCGTCTTTCCAAGCGCAGGTCTCCCGCTGTTGAAAATATATGTGCAAATTAGATCTACCCCGGAACAATCATCAGGTCGAGTCATGATCCCGTGAAAGCCGGCGATCCAGGCGCCATTGAGCGTGGTATTTATACTTGTCTCTGTGCGCTATTGCTGTGAGCTTTAGTGAGCGCTTGCTGCCTGCGCCAGCTGAAGCCGCATCGTGAATCATAACACGAGCGGTCGCGCTTCTATTGCCACTTTCCCGCAGAAATTTGTGAGGCCTTAGGCTGACCGATTCGTGGAGGTGGCGGAAGGGGGGATGCCATCCTGGTGTTGAACACGCGTGGTGAGACGTGACCTTGACCCGCTGTGTCCGGTGGCGTTCTCTCGTCTTCCGCTCCATCTGTCCCTGTCAGTCTGGCGAACTGACCGCCTCGAGCCCATGACCCCGATTCCTCCGCGTCGATGGCAGCCAAACTCGTAGATCTGGACGCCGGCTCCCCGGCCTGCCGGCCCGCAGACTCGCCATTGTTTCCATCCGCCGGACCCCTGTCGTTGTCTCCAGCCACTGCCGCGCTTGGAACGCCAGATCAGCACCACGGAAATTTATGAGAATCGCCACAAGATAACGTTTTAATAAGGGTCGGAGCGATCGAGGCGCCGCGCCTCCCAAGCCCGCCCGGGAATCGCCTCCATCTATCGCAGCTGATCCCCTTTCTCGGCTTAACAAGGGTCCGAGCCGTAGACGGCAACACTCCACGCCTCGCCGACGCGAAATAGGCGGCTCAGCCCGGGCTGAGACCGGATCAAAGAGGACTGGGTCGCAAGCGAGCACTCAGGCAGCTGGCACGCACCAAATCCTGCAGTCGGAGGCCCAGGCTGTGGCGCTGACTCCTGGCTCAAATGCTGGAGGTATATGCTCTGGTAGATTGCCTTAAGCGTTTAAGTTCCGTGGGCTCACAGCTGCGCTTGCTGGGCTGTTGTCCTAATCGTCGCTTTGATTACTCCGCTGGAGCTGTAGTGCGGATGAACCGAAGACGGGGGTAGTGCAACGTGTTTGATCGTCTCGATTTCGGGGGAATATGCCGTTCGTAACGAGGATTCTTCATATCAAATAAGCCTGACTGCAAGTAGGAGTGTCACTCCAGGCATTCTAGTGTTGAAAGTTGCGCACTTGCAGTGAAGGCCGGGGCTCTGTCGGCCTGAAGGCACACAATAGTGTTCTACTGGGCTCCACTAGGAGCCGCTGATCGTGATGTACGTGTCATTTTTCAGCGATACACCATTTGGCTCTCGACACCCAGCACTCTCCGCAACGCCTGGGTTGTCATATGTGTCATATGTGTCGCTTACGTATTTCTGCTCTGATATCAAGTGACGAAGGACCCTGCATCAGGTACAAGAGCGGACACTTGGCTCACTATATTGGAGACTATATGGACGCTATTGACCGGTAAACGGCCCGATCCTCCGTAATGAACGACACTCCGCATGGCAGATGTGCGGAGGCCGTGGCCAATAATGGAATGGGGGATTGATGATCTCGGGACTGAGTGACAGGCTCCTACCATGCCTCATGTCGGTAGCCACTACGAAATGCATTGGAAAGTGCGACGCATCCTTTGAAACAGCGGACGTATTGAGATCGCGTGTCAGCCCAATCTCAAGTTACAGCTCATGCAGATGAGCTTGCATTTGTAAATCAAGTAAAGAATGTATAATGTCCTTATTCATATGAGTCCCAAGTGCTATAAGAATGTTCTACGGACAAAGTGAATACCGATTTGCACGGCAATGTTCATCCCTCGTCGGCATGAATAACGATTTAACTACAAAAAACATGGAATTTCAAGTAAGTAAGGTTGCTCAAAGGCTTCCGAACCTTTGAAGCCCAAGACTCGAGGCTTTTCTGCGCAACTTCAGAGCTTAATTTTCTTCTCGAGCCCATTTCAACGAGGGCTAGGCTATTGTCAACTAATTGAGTTCCAGCGAGGAGTGGTTCAGGCGGGTACATTCGGGGCTGCATTAACAAAGCTCTCCCTCTCTCCTTTGCAGGGATCTCCCTGCTCCACGGCAATCAAGACTTTGATCACGGTCTCCACGCTTGTGGTGCTTGGTCTCATTTGCGCCTACCACGCCTTGGAAGTGCAGGTGAGTGCCTGTAGGTGTTTCGCATGACAAAGTCTTCAGTGGAACCTGAAGCGCTCTGTTGGACATGCTGCAGGTTGTATTTGGTGTACCATGTCGCTGCTGCTGACTTCTGACTTTAAACGCACTGGTCGCCGTGCGATGTGCTGATTTCCGCAATTTCTCCTGCCTGATAAGGTACAAGGGCATGGACCGATAGAATCCTTATATGCATCCCTTCTTTTCTCCGTTTGCCTTCAAGACAGGATGTCCGCACGCCCGCGGGTTCATGAGAGATGTCCGGCTTTCGTTTATGCGCCACGAGGGTTCCTGTTTGTCGTAGCACCACCGCGACACCGCTAGCGTGACGTCAACAGACTGACTCGCTGTCAGCTACGACGACATCTTTCCACCTTTTGATCTGGAGGCTCTTTTGTAACCTCCCAATCCCCTGTGAGGCCGCTTGTCCAATGCTGTCCTCCGTCCCAGTTCAGTACAGACCCAGTGTCCGCCGTGAGACCTCCAGCGCCGTACAGGCCGCCCGTGCGCCGTGAGGCGCGCCGGTGCCGCGCGAGACGTGCCGTCTGACCGGGCCGGCCGTCATCCGGCCCCTGCTGGCCGTCAGCTACCTGCAGGCTTATTGGCCGCCGATCAATACGGACCCGGCGGGCGTGCGCCGCAGCCGCCGTCCCGCGCCACCTGAGTGAGCCGGCCGCGCGGCTGGCCCGACCGGGAGGCGTCCTGTGGCTGCCGCGGCTCGCCCGGCCGGGAGGAGCCCTGTGGCCACCGCGGCTCGCCCGGCCGGGAGGAGCCCTGTGGCCGGGAGGCGCCCTGTGGCCGCCGCGGCTCGCCCGGCCGGGAGGCGCCCTGTGGCCGGGAGGAGCCCTGTGGCCGCCGCGGCTCGTTCGGCCGGGAGGAGCCCTGTAGCCGGGAGACGCCCTGTGGCCGGGAGGAGCCCTGTGGCCGCCGCGGCTCGTCCGGCCGGGAGGCGCCCTGCGGCCGCCACGGCTGGCCCGGCCCGGCTCGGGAGCACTTTGGTGACGGCTGGAAGGCCGCGGCTCGGTCCTGACGGGGTCGGCACGTCCGCGACGAGCGTGGCGATGAGAAAAACGTTTTGAACGACGTCTTTGGCCTGAATTCCCCGTGCAGAGACGTCAAAATTGTGGTCGGTAAAGAAATCACTCCATTTGGCCAGATGGTGACGAGATTTCGCGAAGGCTCATGATCATGTTTGCAATACTCACCCTATCCTAAGCATTTGCTTCTTGCAGTCTATCGTGCCGTTCAGGGAGCAATTGCTTGAAACAGGAAACCACGCGGCTGTCGCCTACGGCCGTGACACATGGAGGGTTACGTAGTCTCCTGCCCTGTGCCTGGTCTTTCCTGTGTCGTGTTTGGGCAGAATGGGATTTGACCTAGCTTACAAAATACCACCTCGGTACCGGCACGGAACAGAGCGAGTTCCTAGCCACTGCAGCTCTTCCCTGCCGCCCACGGCGGTGGCCTCTCTCCTCTCTCCTCTCCATTCCTCTCCTCTCTCCGTCGGCCGCCGCCTTGAGGCCGGCAGCCTGCCCCTGCGCGCGGGGCGCGCCGCCTGCAGGACACCTCGTCGGCCCTGTGAAGGAGGCCGACTCGCTGCGTCAACGCGAACAGCCGGCTGACGGCGGCGCCGATGAGATTATCGGATTTAGGAGAGCGACTCGGGTCCGCGGTGGCCGGCCCGGCATAACTCGCTGTCATCGGCGCTTCGAGGCGGGTAAATCAAACGCCGCCCCGCGTCCCACCGCCCCCAAGGAGCCGTGGCCCGTGACGGCCGTTGAATATTCAGATTTTATTGCCGTGAGTGGCGTCTCGGATGTCCTGTAGACATTCGACGTTGATGGCGCGAGTGCCGGTCGTCCAGGCGTCTCGGCGTGCGTCGGGAGCCGGTGCGTCGTGCCAAACGAGACGGCGGCGGCGTCGCGACCGCCGGCACCACGCCACCGCCGCCCACTTGTGAAATCTAAACAACGTCGAAGCCGACGCGCTTGGCACTGGCCGGGCGCGCTTCCCGAGGCGGTCTTAGTGATGCGCGGGAGACACGGCTCGTGACGTGGCGTAGTTGTCGAATGGTCCGATGTGGTGGCGGGTGGCTGTTGGTGGCACGACCAACGCATGCATCGGAGCAAGACTGGCGTGAAATAAATGTTATGTTGTCCGCCTTGCGCGTGATGATGAGGGCTGCATCGTAGCAGCTCTTGAGCTCGATGCGCTCGGCGTCCCGAGTGGTAGCTTCGTTAGAAGTGCGGCAATCCCAAATGTATTCGTGAACTGTCCGTGTAAGCTGGCGTGAACGGGCCGCAGTGTGTTGAGCGCGTGCCGATCTGAGGGTCGCTGAGGGTCGGCCGGGCTTGAGTAGCCCGTCGGCGACCGCCGACGACAATCGCCTCCCCTCCATCCCCTCATCGACCGACGCCCATCTTGGCCAGTTGTTTATGTCGCTCTTCAGCTGATCAATCGAAGTGAGCCGGTGCGGCTGAATTATTTAGCCGGCCGGTCGGCACGGAGTGGCCGAGCCGTCCCATCCCGCGGGCCTCTGTGTTAGAGACGCCTGTACCTCTGCCTCGGCTGCAGCAGCTCACCGTCCGACAGCGGACAGCCGCGCGCTGCCAGCCCGCGCAGCTGGACAAAAACGATAACGGTATCGCGGCGCCCAGCAGCGACTCGGCGACCGGTGCGACGCAAACAAGCCCAGCACAAACCCGACGCGGAGTGGCCAAACAGGCCCGGCTGCCGGCCACCGACGGCCTCCAAACGGCCCGAGGGCACGGCGGCGGCCGGTGGCGGCGTCGATGCGCGCAGCGACGATCGCCCTGTCGGCGGGCGGCCCCCACCGCGCGGCGCCACCCGCGAACGGCTGCACTGGATGCAGCCCGGGCGTGCCGCGCCTGCGCTCGCTGATAGCCGACTCTGTCGCGACCGGCCGCTATTTTGAGGCACGGCGGTGTTGAAATTGTCGCTGAGTAAATAGCCAGCTTGCCGTCAGCGACCAGCTTGGCTTGGAGCTCTGGGAGATGACTGTCCGCGGGGAGCCTGCCAGCGGCGGTTGATGTTTTGGGCCGTGCTCATCACAATCGGGTAAAAGCAAGCGCGGCCGGTCAGTTGTGCGCCCGTCATACGCACCTCAAATCCGGCTGAGGGCTTCTTTTACCGATGGAGTCTTCAAATATGGAAGTCCTGATCAGCGCGATTGATTTCCCTTTGGTGGCTGATGGACTGATACCGCTGGATGAAGGGGATTCGATGAGTTCTTTGTTACATGTGAATGACGGTGTAGTGATAAGGTCTCATGATAAATGGCGGTATTAATGGCGGATTAAACGTGCCTACACACTAAACCAATTCCCTCCGACCATCGTGACTAATTACAGTGACGTATCTGGCAACCATTCATTGGCAAGGTGGGCAATTCTGTTGCAGAAATTCACCACCGAGTAAAAATGCGCATACGTATGTATAACGCGAAGCGCATATGCCGGCAGAAATGGATATAATTATACAGATGTACGTCGCCGTTGGGGCCATTGGGACTGCGATGAAGGCGTAGGTAACTTCACGCCACTTGATAAGAGTCCCAGACCTGGCACTGCGGCGGCATTGTGGCAGAAGGAAGAGAATGTCTCCATTGATTTGCCTTGATAAGGCCGGAAGCAGATTGCTAAAACGACAAACACGGCCAAAAGTCAAGCGTGCAAACCATTCGGAGTGAAGTCAGTTCTTCGAAATACAAAAAAAACGTCCATTCATCCTCTTCATTTGTGATCGCGTAACGGTGCAAGTCACGCCGCGTAACGGCGGCGCTTACAGTCACAGCGACCAGCAGCATGTGGCGACGGGCGGCCACGGACAGAGCGCAGCTCTCCCAGTCCTCTGCTGCAACCGAACGCGTGGGAATCTGCATGACACGCGCTGTTAACTAGAATCGCATTGCACTGTGCACAAAATATTGGGTAAGCCTCACAGTCTGTGCCACACTTACCGGGCTGTTGTAGTCTAAGATGGCTTGACTCTACCCCAAATAAAATTGCATAGTAGGTTATTGTGCTGATTTAATGCCTAAGAGACCCTGTGGCCTCTTCAGTTCAGAATAAGGCCATGATGCTTGCTATCACCATCTGCCAGTGAGCAACACAGTAGTTACAGCGACAGTATTTGCAGCACAACCATTTCATCAAGGGCTTTGGTGCCGGCTTAACTAAATCTGTATGTCCTAACCATGTGAGGCTAATTCCCATTGACGATAGGTCGAGCATAGTGATTTCCCTCAGACGTAACAGCAAAACTCTGCTCACTTAAGTGATTCGTATTCTTGCTTGTTATTGAGAACAGGATCCTTTACGCGTAGGGTAGGGACAGGGAAATGCTCCACACAGCGGCTGTATGCGTGAAACACTCTTCAGATCACATAACGGAACTTTCGGCAACCCGCGAGTGCCTGCACACTCCACGGTGCCGAAACGCTGCCTCTGGAATTACCAGGGCAGAGGATTTTCGGTTCGTTACATTTGGCCATGACAGTGCGTGTGCCAACAAGACATCGTCAGCGATTAACTGCTGACACTGCCTGGACGGTTATCTTTCTTAATTCAGCCAAGATTTGGCTGCATCACTACTGACCACGCCCTACCTACGCCCTGCCTGCCTACCCGCCCTACGGCTGACCATTGTGCTCAAACCCCAAAAAGTTATTTTTCGTCCGGGCAATTCCCCGCTTGGAAACACCTGAGTTAGATAATATTCGACGTTCTTTTAGCAACACCATGCCCGAATTGCTATAACAAATATCGGCAGAATGTTCCCTTCGATGATATACCATCGTTGTCATAAAGTTGTCTGTCATCAGCGTCTGTTTGTGAAAACTACATGATTTGCTTACATTTTTTCTGCAGGTGTTGTTCTCACAGACGCAGCTTTTGATTATTTGACTGCCTTCGTACCAACTCTGTTAGCGGTCTGTTGTCCAGTGCCGAAAAAAAGCGAATGGGTTCGGGTTTCCGTGAGATAAGACCCACAGAAACTTAATTTTTCCCTGAAGTTCTTCAACTACAACGAATTACGAACAGCTGAAGCATTGCTACTTTTCAGCATTTTTCGCGGTAACTTTGTGGACCAAAACTCAGACCTAATGAAAATGCCACCGTGTAGTACTCGCCTCTTATTGGTCCTAGATTAGAGCCAAATTGTCGTAGAATTATTGCGACGTATAGAAAAATGCAAAGAGCCTTCTTGTAATGTAGAGCCTTCTTTGTGACGCAGGTGTCAGTCATCTAGAGCCCTTCACGTCTTTAGAGACCCGCCATGTGCCTGATTCCGATGTGTGTGACCCATCGTCTCTGTGCCGCAGCTGTTCATGATTGACAACTGCGCCGACGACTGGCGGATCGCCATGACCTGGCAGCGCAACGTGCAGATCTTCACCGAGCTCATCATCTGCGCCATCCATCCGATCCCCGGCGAGCACTACTTCATGTGGACCACCAAGCTCTCCAACAACGGCCACAGCGGCCTGACGGAGAGCCGGCGCGTGCCAGTGGACGTCACGCTGTCGCTGCCCATGTTTCTGCGGCTGTACCTCATCTGCCGCGTCATGCTGCTGCACTCGAAACTCTTCACCGACGCGTCGTCGCGCAGCATCGGTGCCCTCAACCGGATAAACTTCAACACGCGCTTTGTGCTGAAGACTCTGATGACCATATGCCCGGGCACAGTGCTGTTGGTGTTCATGGTGTCGTTGTGGATCATCGCCAGCTGGACGCTCCGGCAGTGCGAGAGGTAAGGCGTCGGCTTTCCGCTCGCTCGGTGTTCGGCGACGGTTTACGCTGCCGGCTGGTCACCACGTGAGCTCTGAGGAGGCCGGTGCGCGGTGACCGGAGCTGGCTTACGCTGCCGACTGGTCACCGCGCTGAGCTCTGAGGAGGCCGGTGCGCGGTGACCGGAGCTGGCTTACGTTGACAGCCGGTCACCGCGCGAACTCTGAGGAGGCCGGTGCGCAGTTACCGGCGCGAGGGTTCATCAAGCCCGCTGAAGTGTCAGAAGTGTGCTGAGGCGGTGTAATTGATCACGTAACTTGCGTTTGAGTGTGGGCCTAAGGCAAAAGCGTGTTATTACGTGGATGGTTAAGTTTTTGTCTTTCCGGCCGGTTACGTTTGATCTCGCTGTGTCCTTCGTTAGATAACGTTTAGATTTTTGCTTGAGCAATGGTTAGAATAGTGGCTATACTTTTTGCTTTGTGCATAACTCTGTGTGTAATTGCCGTGTTGGGGATGGACCAAAATTCCATCATTGGCAGTCACGGTGAGGGGCGCTTATCTTATCTTATCTTATCTTATCTTATCTTATCGCTTATCTTATATCGCTCACGTAGCCAGCCAGTACAATGCGGAGCCGGGCTTGCTCGTTACCGTATTCAGCACTGAGCGTCTTGTCAAGAGAGCCGGCCTGAAGCGATCTCGGGGTGGCCGATCGCGGCCCCACGCCTCACGGCCGTCAACAGTAAGCGCCCCCTCACCGAAATGCTTCGGCCCAGTCTGCACCCGCCTGGTCATGGCACTCTGAACCAATACGCCCAATTCGCTCCATACGTCCTCTCAAGGATCCGACCAAAGACTTGGAGCGCCGCTCCCTCGCGCTCTGCCGGCTGGAGATGACTACCCATGACAGCGAATTTTGAGCCCCAGCCCCGCCAGTTCCCGGCTGCACGAGCGGACGTTTACCCTGTAGCGCTTCTGAGCCTCCCTAAGCGTCACACCGCCCGAAAGCGCTCTTCTGTCCCCTGCCCCTACCCACTATCCGTGTAAATGTACAAAATCCGCTAGATGGCGCATGTCGATGTAGTACTTCTGGACCTTTCTAGCATATTGCTGGCAGTCGGTAGCATAGTCGTTGGTTGACCTCCCTGACTTGGGCGTATTTGTCTCCAGGTACCATGACCATGACCACGTCAACCTACTCAACTCCATGTGGCTGATAGCGGTTACTATTTTGTGTGTGGGCTATGGAGACATAGTACCCAACACATACTGTGGCCGAAGCATTTCCGTGGCATGTGGAATGATGGTAAGTTGACTTGATGTAAGTGTCCCCTATTTGTGTTTGACAGATACCACGACGACGATCACGCCAATCTGCTGAATGCCATGTGGCTCATCGCCATAACGTTTCTCTCGGTTGGATACGGGGATATTGTGCCTAATACCTACTGTGGACGCGGCATTGCGGTAACCACCGGTATTATGGTGAGTAAGCTGTCCATGTGAGGGCCGCTGGAGCCGTGCTTTTTGGTTTTCCGCGCTTGGGCGCGCACTGCCCCTCAGGCGCCGGCGCGACACCGCCGGCCAGGCCGGAAGGCGGCCCCTGGACGCCGTCCCCTTCCCCCCCCCCCCGGCCTACCGGCGGGCCGCTGCACGTGTGCTGGAGGGTTGAGCGGCTGGCCGGGGCTCGGGGATCGGAGCTCGGGGCTTGGGGCTCGGGGCTTGAGGCTCGCGGCTCAAAGCTCGGAGCTCGGGGCTCGGGGCTCGGGGCTCAGCCGCGGCTCAGAGCAGTGCCTTCGCGGCCTCGCCACAGTTGTCGTCAGGAAAACGCGGTCGCAGAGGCGGCGCGACGTAATGGAACGTCTCCTTCGGTTATTTCGCTGAAGGTCTATTCTTTCTTCGGCGCTTTTTGCTGGAGTTTTGTGAACCCTTAGAGCAGAATGAAATCGAATCACGCTCAAAGTGCTCCTCTTACAGCTGAGCGAAAAAACAAACGGGGTGACGAACGCGGGCCGCCTCGTGATTTGACAGGCAATTTAGCATCCTGTTTCTTGCGCTCCACTGAATGCATCAACCCAAACGTACAAACAAACCACCAGGTTTTAGATAGCGGGGTATATTATGCAACACCGTTACCCCAAACATGCATATTTTGACTCGTTATTCCCCATCAGTCACAAGGACACACTGTAAATGTTCTCCAAAGGCGTTGATGCGTTACAAGCGCGCTTTGGACCCGTCATGTTTATCGAATCTCGCTGAACGTGCGTTCGCCTCCGCATTCTGCAGGAAGCTGCATTTTTATTCGATTCTTCCAGTAGAAACTGGAAAACATATCGCACAAGGTGGCAAGCCACTACTGCGGCTGGGCGGAAAATAACCTGAGTATTCAGCGCGTCCCAAAGCACCAACCATCATCATCATCCACTACAGCGGACACCCGAGCTGTGCTTCATGCAGAGACCAGTCGTCAGATAGTCTCGTCCTTGCAAGCAAATCACCAAACAGGGCAGCCCACACGTGACACCCTGCCTCCTCCTCACATGTATGGCAGCCAGGAAGTGAGGTGCCGCTCTCGGGGTTCAGGGTTGCCTGAGCACTAGACAGTGCGCCCCCAGATGATACAAAATGTTCCGATTTGAGGGCTTTGAGCAGTAGCTTCCGGGCAGCTGAGCGTCAGAAATATCCGGTGGCGTGCTATGCCTACTATCGATCTTTCTGGGAATATTTAGTACGCGTACAGTTCTATTTTTGATGTCACGAATTAACCTGCAGGACCATTGAAGATTTTAGCCCTCACCAGGAGGGAAGCATAGAATTCTCCCCAGTTTTTTTTGGGGGGGGAAGGTGGCATGTATTGGATCTTCCAGCGTCTGCCAACGCAGTTCTTGGCGAATCGAGTTGATAACCTTTCGTGCCTGGGCCGTCAGTTTTAAGTTCTTGCCGTAGCGAATCAGTGACCCATGATCTCGTCCTCGAAACTCCATGCCACGAAAATGTGTAAGAGTAGCGCTCCGTGTCTCATTCTTAACTCTGCACGTATCATACATTTTGTTTGTCGGATCTAAAGGTGCAAAGATGAGATGTCATGGAAGTGTTCACTGCTTATGATTATTGCTAAAGACATTCGAGCTGTATATCTCATCAGGTCAAATCTTAAAAATTACGAGAAATTTGCTCTCCAAACCACTTATCATGGAACACACTGAACAGGGCCGAACGATAGTTTTTCTCGCCAGCACCATCGCCATGAGTCCAGGGCCACGTCCCGTCTTGTCTTCGAGCCTACCCAACTTCTCGCTAATAGATAGACGTTTACAGTTTAACAATACCATTAGCTTAACAACTGTGGGTGCAATATTATCCAAAGTCTTGGTCATGGAATGCATGTCAGAAGGTCATGTCAGGGAAGCCTGTCGTGATCTTGCATTGCCCCTTGGAAATACAAGGTGGTTTGCTTCCAAGACCTTGCATTGCCCCTTGGAAGTACATGGTGGTGTACCTCGATTTGCATGAGGCTTACTTTGTAAGTATGCATATATTTAGTACGCATATACTCAGTATATGTACTCATATACTCAGTATATGCGTTCTAGAGGGTCCAGCCCTGCGGCCCAGGTCCTCAAATGTCAGCCAGTCAGAGGACCCTTTGCGCCGATCGGGGGCCTCCTGACTCGATGAGGGCCTCTATATCTGTCAGGCACAGCCAGTACAAAACAGTCGGTTCTGCAGAGGCTCATTTTAAAGCGTGAACAGGGCCAGGGACGCGATTTACACCGGTCGGGGCCCTTTGTCGATCAGGGCCCAACAATGCCTAACAGGGGGTCCTGTGTCGGCAAGTGGCCCCGAATGGACTGGGGGAACATATGGTGAGCAGGGATATGGGCGTGACCCCAGGGCCCCTTACGTTGGTCAGAACCCTCCGACAATGAAAGCATGTATGGAAACTTAGGGAAGAGAGTCCTAATACAACATGGAAGCGCCCTGCGTCAGCCAGAGGCCCCGGTCGAATGGGGAGCCCCCTAGCCCATTTGAGCCTGGTATCCGTCAAACCGAATTGGAGTGTCTGTGCCAACTATTGGACCTCCGCGGCTGGCATAAGGGGCCCTTTTGCGTCAATGAGGGCCCCTGCGTTGATCCGGCACCGACTTCCCGAGTCAGAGAGGGAGCAACTTATGATTTTCTTTCTGGATGCCCCCCGATTGACCACGTGATCCCGCGCCGGGTGGCCAGAATGGCAGCCAGTAGGCAACCCGCGCTGGAACGGAATGGCCCTTTAGCGCCCGAAACGGGAGAGATAATATGAATGTTCTATCCACGAGGCCCATTGTCCAGAAAGAGGAAAATGTTCTACATGGTATTTTCAAAAGGGTGGATCAAAATGGGGTCAAAAATAAAAAAGGTTCGTAAGGACGATCGTCGTGAAACAACGTTTCTGAAGCTCTCCCAAAATCAATTCATAATGTTCAAAAACTCGGACTAAGTTGTATATTTCACCGTTTTTTCCAATGCAAAGGTGAACAGTTACTTGAACATAAAACTTATAGATTTTATATTTAATTATACTTTGAAGGTCCACAATAACAAAAGGAAAGCACCCTGCAACAGCCAGGAGCCCCAGATCCGATGGGGAGCCCTCCAGCCCATTTCAACCAGGCATCCGTTAAGCCGAACTGCGGCCTTTACGCTAATTATTGGACCTCTGCGGTTGGGGACAAGGGGTCCTTTTGAATAAGTGAAGGCCCCCTTTGTTGATCCGAACCTCGGATCTGGACCGGACCAAGCCTGTTCTGCCTTACATTGCACAAGCACTGTACCATCTTAGATTACACCTTTACTTTTCCAGCTCCACCACCAGATTCCAGTACCGGGTCGTGGTGCTGTGAATGCTTATCTGTTTCTATCATCAATTTAGAAATGGCACAGGCGAAATATGCTCCTGGACTGCCTTCTAAACGTGCGAATCGATGTCAGGCGTTCAGTAATACTTTGCTCAGATACGTCATCGTTTTTATCCGCCCATTGCCCGCCACTGAGTGTTGGCCACGTGGATGACGCTGTGTGGTCTGTGGAGACTGCAACGAGCGGCGTCGGGGTTTTGAGTTATATTTTTTAAGGTTTTTACCGGGTGAAAAGAAAAAGATGTTCCCATTTGATTGGTGCGTGACGTACCCTAATACCACACAAGCGCGTACATTCTCGTTTCGTTCGATGGGACGTACGCTGAAGTTTCAGTTGTGTCCAGATCCAAATGACACCATGGCGTATAGCGCTGCTTAGCATGAAGCGAAAGGCGGAAATTGTTAATATATTGACCAACGGAACCGATATTCGTGCCACAAAGGCGTTTCAGACTTTATCTCAAGGCCCGCCGCGCCCTTTGCGCAAAGCTGGTTTTACACCCGCAGGAGTTTCTGGGAGACGGGTGGGTGGGGAGGCGAAATGTGGGACGAATTGGGGGATGCGATTTAAAGAACAGAAGACGTCACTGCAACAGTTAGGTACCACATCAGTGAGGACCAAACAAAATCCGTCCGGTAGATCACCCAAAGATGCAGCATCAGCCACGCACTTGTACGGGAAAGGAGAAAAATGACCTCAAAAGTTTCCCTACAAAGTGATCATCCACAAGAAGCGGCAGAAAAGCCCGTAAACAATAGGGAATGACCTTTTCCACCTGGTTTAAGACCAAGCATGAAACTTATCCCGGGTTTCTGAACAGCAACGAGGCTCACTTTCATCCGATTGAGCTAGGAAACAAGAAAAACTGACGGTTCGGGCCTTGGAGCCGCCCGATACCGTGGTATCTGGAGACAGCTGGGGCGAGACCCCAGAGTGAATGGTGCCGCCCGACACCGTGGTATCTGGAGACAACTGGAGCGAGACCCCAGCGGTGAATGGTGCCGCCCGACACCGTGGTATCTGGAGACAACTGGGGCGAGACCCCAGCGGTGAATGGAGCCGCCCGACACCGTGGTATCTGGAGACAACTGGGGCGAGACCCCAGCGGTAAAATGGAAAACATCTGGCGCCAGCATGACGGGGTGATTTCCCAAACGTCAGAGATGGCCCTGGCCGGCTGCAGGACCTTATCATCGGCCAAAAGACTGACAACCCAGGCCGGCTAACTCTCCGGATCCGGCCTCACTAAATTTGTATTCATAGAAGTCGTGAAATCCCGTGTCCACAGGAAGAACTCTCAGAGCCTCGGTGACGTGAAGAGGGTCCATCAACCAGGTGGCGCACAAAATCACACCTAACACGTGGGCCAAGGTCATCGATGAGGTGTCAAGGACTGTGCACTCC